AGGTAGAACCTGTTTTCCATATTAGCCGCACAAGATAAAAATTCAAAAAACAGCAAGTTTGAATCTTATGCAACCAAATGTCAACTCAGTATAAAGAACCGAGTGGTAGTACAAGGGACAAGACGAGTAGATGGTTCCTTGTATGAGGCAAACTTGATTTCATTAACTCCAAATACACCGGCTGAAGTGAATATAGTCAGTGAAAATTCAATAGTGCAGCTCTACCATGAACGTTTTGGTCATCAAGATAAACGTCACATAAAGAATGTTATAGAAAAGGAGTTAAACATTAAAGTTCATCTTGACAAGGATTTGTGTGAACCATGTCTCTATGGTAAAGCACATCGGTTAAAATTTGGCAAGAGAAATGCAACCAATAAACCAGGTGAACTACTATCAGCAGATGTTTGTGGTCCTTTCAGTACAGAATCATTTAATAGTAAACGATATTTTGTTGTTTTCAAAGATCATTACAGCAAAATGAGGTTCATTTCTTTTCTTAGACACAAAAATGAAGTGAAACAGGCACTACAAAATATTTTGTCTCAAGCAGCGACTCAAGGTCATAAAGTAAAAGAATTTTTGAGTGACAATGGGGGTGAGTTTGACAACGAAGAAGTTCGAAACATCCTGCGCGGCCATGGAATCACGCAAAGACTAACAGCATCATATACACCTCAACAAAATGGTGGTAGTGAACGTGAAAACAGAACAATAGTGAAATGGCACGCACATTGAAGTACTCAAATCCAGATTTTGAATTTCCAGTCGCTATGTGGGCTGAGTTATGTTCAACTGCAGTATATTTACTTAATCGAACAGGCAAGTCGTCGATTGAAGATAAAAGCCCATTTGAAATTTGGACAGGTAAAAAGCCGAGAATTAACCATTTGAGAATAATTGGCTCTACATGTTTTGTTCACATACCTGATCAAAAACGTCAAAAAATGGATAAGAAAGCCATAAAAGGTTACCTTGTTGGTTACGATGGTGACGAACGCTATCGTATATGGCTCAAAAATCAATATAAAATGATATTCTCAAGAGATGTAGTTTTCCAAGAAAAACCTATGAAATGTACAACATCATTTGAACATCAGACTCAAAAAGATTTTACAACAGATCCTCAAATCAATTGCAAATCAGAAAATGACTCAAGTAGTAGAAGTGATGATTCAAAAGAAGAAATTTCAGATGACACTAATGAAGATGTTCACAACCGTAGTTAAGTTTCATCTGATGAAGAAGATCAATCTGACTGTTGTAATCAAAAGACCAAAGGTATGGTTCTACGTGACAGGAATAATATCAAAAAGCCATCTCGTTATGATCCTTTCGTTATGTCTGCATTAAGTGAAGTACTTGAACCAGAGAGCTACAAAGATGCCATTCAAAGTGATGAAAAAGATGAATGGTTTAAAGCCATGAACAGTGAAATGCAGTCATTAAAGGAAAATCAAACGTGGGATTTGGTAAGTCTTCCAAAAGGTCATAAGGCAATACCATGCAAATGGGTCTACAAGGTAAAACACAATCCAGATGGTTCTGTTGAACGTTTTAAAGCCAGGCTAGTGGTAAAAGGTTTTTCTCAGAAAAAGGGAATTGACTATGAAGAAACCTATAGTCCTGTGGTCAGAAGTTCAACTATAAGAACACTATTAAGTGTTGCTGCAAATGAAAAGATGTCACTCATGCAGTTTGATGTGTCAACAGCATTTCTATACAGCAAACTAGATGAAGATATTTACATGGAGCAACCTGAAGGTTTTAAAGATAATTCAGGAAGAGTCTGTAAACTCAAGCGAAGTCTCTATGGACTTAAACAAGCTCCAAGATGTTGGAACAAACGCTTTGCTGAATTCTTGAAAAAGAGACATTTCAAACAAAGCGATGCAGATACTTGTTTGTTCATTAGAATACAGGGAGGAAAGAAACTCATACTTGCACTGTATGTTGATGATGGACTAGTTGCAGGAACCGATAAAGAAGAACTAAAAATATTTGAAAAAGA